TTTTTTTTTTTTTTTTTTTTTTTTTGGTTAGAGGATAGATATATAAATACAAATTTTTTACCCTCATTTTTATTTAATATTATTGACTCTTCAAGTGCGCAAAAATATTTACCAAAAAAATTCAACGTTTTCACTTCTCATTGCTTTCACTTTACTTTCCCCGCGACTAACAAGATAAAATTCTTTTCCTTTAAATTCTAGAGTTCCGAAAGCAGCAAAAAAAGCAAACCAATATGCATAAATTTTTTTTTTTGCCTTTTTCAGTTTAGAAAGTGGAAGAAAGAAAACCAAAAATTTGGCTCAAAAAACTGTTTTTCCTTCGTCTTCTTTAATATTTACGGTTTCAAATTTTCTTCTCTTTCTTCCCTCTCCGTTACACCTGCTTACTCTTCTCCCCACTAATGTATCATTAACTCTTCAAAAAGTAGCTTTTCATAACTTTCTTTCCACTATTTTTTTTTCGTTCTTACCGTTTCGGTTTCCTTCAATGTCTGAAAAACTACAGTCAACAGCAATAAGAAAGGTAAATGAGAAAAAATGATGTGCTGATAATAAGTGATAGTTTTTTCTTTCTTGGGTTTCTTTTTCATAAGCAAGACGAACGTAGATGAGTGAAAAAAAATGCACATTCCTCACTAATAGCTGCGAAAAATTTCATGAATAAGATAAAGAAAAAAATGAAAATTTTAAATTCAGTAAATAATTGAAGAAACAGTTTGCTCCTTTGAATCAGTTACAGCTAACGGCAGTGTTGACGGCAACAGAGGTTTCAGAAGAAAAAAGGCAATAACAAAGAAGAAATTGCAAAAATAAACAAATGAAATAAAATAAATATAATTAGATTAAATCAGTAAATAATTTGTGTGAAGAGTTGTTTTTTACGAAATAATAAATAAGTAAATAAACAATTTGTAAAATATTACTGCACCTTGTTTAGCCTATCAAATAAATGATTACAGAAATGCGAAAAGAAAAGAGAATAAAAAAATATTTAAAAAAAAATAAAAATTGAAGAACAAAATCAAAAAGGAAGTTCCATTTTTTTCAGCTGACAGAAGTCGTAAAAATTTTTGCAACAATTGGTTTTAGTTGTTACCGTCTTCTGTTTCTCCAGCAAATTTCGGTTACCCCCTACCACCCATCCATTTCGCTTTTCCAACCCTCTTCACATAATTCGCCTCACTGACCACCATCGCAGGGCGGCGGCAAAACCTCCAATGAACTTGTTCTGTACAGTTGACAGATGCTTGTCAATATTCAAAGATTTGGCTACGAAGAGAAAAAAAAGTCAGGAGGAAACAGTGAACGATAAGAAGTCAGCATTCAGACTCAGAAAGCTACTACAGTAAGCAGGAAATAGAGGCAGCATCGTCACCGTTGGCAACGGATATAACCAGCAGTCGGTGATATTGATTCTGTGTGGATTCTGGCTAAACCCGATAAAGATTTGGACAAACCAAAAAGAAGAAAAATTTGTTCTAGTTGTATAATTTCATAACTTCTCTTTTATTCCCTCATTTTGTGTCACAAAATAGCCCTATGAATATAAATGAGAAATTTTTCCATTTTTTTTTTACCACGCTTCTGCTTTCCTATACAGCTTTTCCCTCATTTTAACTTTATTTGCTGTTGCTATTGCTTTCAGTGTTTATTGCACGCAAAACTATCAACTGTTTTTCCTTTTTTGAAAGGCATTAAAAAGATGTAAAAAAAGAATGAAAGATGAGAAGAAAAAAGTTATGTTAGTATTGAAAAATAGCAAAAACGATAAGAAGAAAAAAAGAAGATACAGAATTGTATTTTAGTTTTCAATTCTATTCATCTGCATATGCAGTTCTTCTTTCTATTCTTTCTTGAGCAGAACTTTATATATCCACTATTCCCAGCCCTTTCCAGCCCTTTTTCTTTCCACCGTTCACCAGCCCCTTCCCTTCTCCAAAGCTTCTTTACTCTGCTTCCCGCAGTACTCCACCCAAAAGAAAAAAATTCAATATAACAACGGGCTGCTGGAAAAAACCGCAGAAAAAGTGTTGTTAAAAGTTGTCTGCTTACGCTTTGTTAAAACTTAAATATCAAAAAATAAATTCGTTTTTTAGCGTGTCTTTTCCTTTTCTATTCTTTCTGTCCCTCTATTCTCCTCTTTCCCTCTTTTTCTAAGCTCAGTCCGTCTTTTCTCTCTCAACTCTTTACATTTTGATTTGTGTTTTTGAAACGAATTAGTACTATCATATCGGCAGATTTATTTACCCTTTTTTCTCTCTTTTTTTTCAATAAATAAATATTTGCTTAATAATCGGTTACAGAAAAAAAAAGAGAAAAAGAAGCAAAATAAAGAAAAGAAGATTGAAGACTTCTTATTCGTTGTCATCGTCTTCGTCTTCTCCCTATTTTTCTTTCATGTAAACTATCAGACTGCACCAATTACAATTTTCAAAAGACGATTCATAGCATGGATAAGATGAAAGCAGGCGAGAGAAAAATTAAGAAGAATAGAAAGATAAAAAATAAGACGAGAATTATAAAAAAAAAAAAAGCTGGTGAAAAAAGGGGAATCAAAAAAAAAAGAAAAGAAACTATTTGTGTAACTTACAATATGTTTAAAAAAACGTTTTGAAAAAGTTAGACAAAAATAGCATTTTTTTTCCCTCTTTTTTCTCGCTATTTTTTATTCCCTTTAAGTTTACGAATACACTACGTATCCTTAAACGGTTCATCCCAATTTATCAGATTATATTTTCATATCGTTTTTAATTTACACATTTACGCTATAGGAGAGAGGTGAAAAAAAACAGGAAAAAGGAAAAGAGGACAAATAGACAAATAGAGGCAAGCATACAAAAATGGAGAAACCAAAGGACAGATAGAGAGTATCAGAAAACTAACCAACTAGAAGTATCGTTGAGAACAGCTTTAGCGATTGCTGCCGGAAATATACCGGAATTTGAGGATACGGATGCAACGGATCTCATCATATTCAAAAAGTTCAGATGATCAATTAACTGTGGTGCCCATACCGCTGATGGCGGCGATGCCTCACGAGCCTCTTTTTCCTTTTGTTTATCAGCTAACTTTCGTACCATCGCGTCCAAACGTGTACCCGAAGTTTCGTGTTTTCGTTTATGATGATTTGTAACATTATTACCGATGTTACTATTGCCATTGTTGATGTTATTATTACTGTTATTACTGTTAGCGGTGTTGCCATTATTGTTACTGTTGTTGATAGCCGCTGCATTCGCACTATTAATAATTGAATTGATACAGTTAGCTAAAGGTGATGAACGGGAATTCTGTGATGAAGCTATTGAATTGGTTGACGGTACAGCAATTGATGATGTACTCGAGGTGTTGAACAGACCAGTGGATGATGGAGATTCTGGTGATGATGCCGAAGCGTTCGTCTTACATGACGATTTAGATGTTGCCGTTGCTGCCGTTACTGCAGTTGCAGTTGTTGTTGACAATAGTTGTTCATCCGTTGTTGATCGTATTCGACTGAAAGTGCAGAAACAACAGCAATAATAATAATAACAGTAATAAAAATAACAGTAATAATAAATAGTAGTGGAAGAATGAAAAAAGACAAACAAAACAAGTAAACAATTGCATAAAAACGAAAAAAAAACAGAAGGAATTAGTCCGCGTATCATTTGCCGCAATCTTCAAATGCAGAAAAAAAAAAGAAAAAAAAAGACAGAAATAGAAAAAAAAAATAATTCCTCAAGATTCTCTTCTTCTTCTTCTTCTTCTACTATTCTTCTCCTTTTCTACAATATAAACCAAAAAAAAAAAAATGAAAATAAAAAAAGATATTTAGCTGATAATAACAATCGATATGAAAACTTTTTTTTGAGTCTTTGGTTCAAATACCCTTTGATGTAACTTTTTCCTCTCTTTTTTTTTTATTTTTTTCTTCATCTTTTGATTTTTATGTTTATTTTGTAAAATCAAGCGAGCAAGCCAGTAAAGAAATAAAAAAAAAAACAAACAAACAGCAGAATCATTATAAATATAGAAACACCAAAATTCAAAAATTTATCCACCGTTCTCCATCGAAAAAAAAAATGTTTTTTCTTCTGATACAAAAATAAATTTAGCTTTTGTTATCAAACAGCAGAGAGGAAAAATGAAAACAACCAAAAAATTTAGTTACCTATCTGACTGTAAAGATGGTTCTTCAACTTTGCCATTCAAGGCATCTTGTATAAACCGTTTAAGTTGTCGAATCTCGCGTAGCAGTTCAGTTTTAGAATCCGTTTCATCAGTGATCAATGTCAACGGTAAACTACTCAGATCCGCTGCAGCAAACACCGGTGACTGTTCAGCTTTTTTGACCCGATCATACAACCCAATAATATCGGCTGGTGGATCCGCAGACAAATTCGGTGGCAACAGTTCCAGCAGCACATCGTGGGCGCATGTGATAGCACTTTTTGCAAAATACTTATTGATGAATGTTTTCAGCTGATTCGGTAACAAACTGTCCCGATAATTATTTATAAAACATAACAGTGAATTAAGAACAACCGGACGATCCATTTACTGTTATCGGATAATAATTAGAGTAATAATAATATTATATGATTAGCTTAATAACCACCGCAACTTTTTTTTTTCTTTCTCCACTGCTACAGTTGTTGCTGTTGGTGGTGGTGGTGGTGGTGGTGGTGGTGGTGGTGGTGGTGGTTGTGGTAATGATAGTGACGGCGATCTTGTTGTTGTTGTTGCTGTTATTGTTGTTGTTTTTAGCAACAGTTTGATACAGTAAAAAAATAAACAACAACAACAACAAAAATAAAAAAAAGTAACAAAAATTAAAACAGTAAAAGTAGCAAATTGCAGTCCAGTTCTTTACCAGCAAATCCTCGCTTTTTGTATAGCGGTTACAGTTCCGAAAAAGCAAAAATGCGGGAACAATAAATTAACTAATGGTCACGGTTTCAATTTCAGCAATATCCAGCAGTAGGGCCAAAAAATAATGATAACAATAGTAATAAAAGTAATAGAAGTAATAGTGGTAGACAGTGCTGATAATTATCTGAAAATATTTAACCAAAAATTGATTAAGGATTTAATCGAAAAAAAAAAACAAAAAAAAGCAGTAAAAACCTTTATAAAGACGTATCGGGAACAAAAATACACGAACACACAGACACACAGATACGCATACACACAGATGTAAACTTAAACACGGTGCATATTTTTGTTGTTGCTGTTGTTATTTCTGATGCTACTACTACTGCTATTGCTGCTGCTGCTTCTGCTGCTGCTGCTGCTGCTGCTGCTGTTGTTGCTGTTGGTGATGGTGGTGGTGGTGATAATGATTTTGGTGAAGGTAGTGGATATTATTGAATACGACGATAACGATGATGGTGATGATGATGATGAAAAATTCGTTACGAAAAGGTATTTACGTATTCGGGTTTTTCGCCGGGGTTATACGTACGTATGGTCAAAAATTGGTGTTGAGCGTCAGAAAAATACAAAAATAATTTTGCGATTGAAAAAAAAAAATTTTTTTTTGTGTATTTTGCCGTTGTGTCTGAACGTAGAAACTAAACAGAAAAGCCTTAGAGGAATACACTTTTTGATTTGAATTTTTCAGAAAAAAAATTATAACAATCTTTTAGTTTCTGAAAAACAGGAAGAGACGTCAAAGAGGAAGATGAAGCAAAAAGGAAAGAATAAATGATAGAAAAGACGAATGAGGTAAAGACGACACTACTTCATTGGTTGTTTTTCGTTGTTGCTTTGGCTGTTTTTGTGGTTGTCTTTATTTTTCTTATTTCCGATTAACACTGCTGTTATTATTGCCTATTTAGAGTAATATAGGGTAGAAGGTGACAATGACAGTGATGGTGAAGATGATAAAACTAATGACAACAACAACAACGTTGATGATGATGGTGAAGGCGACGACGATGACGATGGTGATCAGCTAGTTAGCAGTCTCAAAATAATTGGTTGTCCATTTTAAAATTTCCTTCATTTTTACTTCATTCACATTCTTCCTGTAACTTGTTGTTGCTTTTATCCTTATTTATCTATTTTCTTTTTTTTTTTCTGTTTCATATTCATGTGGTATCATCACTAACAAAACAAAAAATATATTTTTTTACACCGTTAAAGTAGCAACAAATTTGCAACAACAATACCAACAACAGCAAGAGCAACAACAACAACAACAACAACCAGAATAACAACAGCTATGACTGAAGCTTGAGCAAAAAATAACAGTATTAATTAAATATTGGTACAATATAATAGAAGAAAGAAAAAATTAAACAATACTTACTGAAAAATAATTAACACTAAAACTTATCCTAAGAATATCAACCGTATGGCAGATAAGAACATTGATAAGTGTCGGAAAAAGTAAACCGGAGTAAGAAACCGGAATAATAATTGAAGCATTAGCAGTTAATAGCCAACAATAACCGAAGTAAC